AATGCAGCATTTCAGGTTTTTTATGCATTAATAACAGAAATACACCAATTTGAAGTTGACCAATTTTTGCGCGTTCCAGACTTTATCACAAAACAAGTACGATCAAGCTATCGTTCAATTTGTTTTTACAAGGTTTCGATGATCCCGGCGGTAACTTGACCGACGACGACAACAACTGCTCTTGAAAAGGATTTGATATGGATTTCCGATCATCACGTCTTTCCTTAAACTCAAATATTACTTCTTTTACATACCTGGTCCTCCAACCGAATTTCTTTACGCTTTACATCATATCATCACATCAAAGCATAGCATAGCAAATGCGATAGTACAAATTGTAGGTGGCTATATAATGGTCAACTAATACGTTTCGCAGAAAATATCGTGTGTTGACGTAGAAAAAAAAACACTTGGAATTAATGATTTTCCCCACACAAAAATAAAATCTACAAAACAAGCATTACATTATACACCTGGACACTAAACTGATGCAAAATTTGAAATTTTCGCTCCACAATGCTCAAACGGTTTGAAATCGGGTCCTGATTATCCTCCCAAAATTTGAACTCATTTAGTAAGAACCTAACTTGGCCCAAACCATTTGAAGTCAGTTTCTTATCAAATGAGTTTAAACTTTCGGAGGCTAATCATGACCCGATTTTAAACTGTTTGAACACTATGGAGCGAAAATTTCAAATTTTGCATCAGTCTACTGGCCACATCCTTAATATTGTAGTGGAAGTAAGGTAAAGTTAAGCCAACATCTAATTGAGAAGGTGCTGGGAACCCATATTACCTTCATAGATGTTGTTCAGAATTGAAATAGGCTAAAATTGAATTTACCTTTTAAAACCCATGCACTTTATAACCGTGCAGTACTAGAGTAGGGACATATCTCTCGATAAATCTCTGTTATCTCTTCCTATCATCGTTCCGAATGATCGGGCGAACGAACGTTCGAATGTTTGTAGAGTTTTACTCATAGCTATTCTCTGTACACCTCATATAACCAGTATACAAGAGTCAGATCACTAAGACCGGACCAAAATAATTTCTTTTTCGTACAGATGTCACAGGAAGAGAAGAGTTGTGTTAATGAGAGGTTGAATGATTAGGAAATTATATTTGTCAATATAGAGCATTTGACAAATCAGTAATAAAAATGGAATATAAATAGATAAAATGAAAAGAGCTCACCCGAACGGCCTAGTGACTTTGCAGCGTCATGTTTTGGGAAATGCTTTATTCAATTTTCGTTGAATTCCCGCAATCACGGAAAACCCAACAAACAATTCAGAGTCACAAATAAGCATATAACGGGTGTTCAATAAAAAATGAGAATGATTTCAGCGCTGTCCAGCGCTCTTGTGAGAGTATCGCGACTAAGTTGCGTCGTGCGGCTGACCAGGGCCCCTTCTCATTGACTTTTTATTTGAAGAATAAACATTATGTTTTTATGTTTTCTGAATTCGTTGAAATTTTTTTTTACCAACTTAGTATATGACTGAAAAAATTCTCATTTTTTATTGAACACCCGTTATATTGAATAAATGCTTTATGACAGTGTACAATGCTGAATAAAACGGGCCTTCAAATTATGTGCTGAGATAACCTCATTGAGATCGATAGATTTGACTGTTTTCAATTGATTTAATAACATTCTTTATTATACGTCTAATAATTATTTTCTAGCTCCATTATTAGATTTCATTGCATTGCTTTACAATATTGCTGAATAAAGGTGAATACAGGCAGCATAATAGTTCTTATACCACTATGCGTCCATGTTTTAATTGCATGCTTTGTAAATGCTTTACAAACGGCGTATTCATTCATTATTTCACAACACTGTTTTAGGCTTACAACAAAACGAAATTGGTAGCATAGTGGTTACCGTTTCCGCTTGCCAAGTAGAAGGTCAAGAGTTCAATTCCAGCCTCAACACTTTTTTTTATTTATTTTCTACGCCTAATTAATTTGAAACGTAAACGTAAATCGTATTACTCACGACAACCAATTCATCGATCTATCTAAAAGAATAGCCACGCATCCTTTCCATCGAAATAAGAGAGATGGAGAGGTAACATTGGTCTCATGTAAAACAACTATGAATGAATTAATCATTCTCACGTCTCCTTGAATTAGCTGGAGTTACGGCAGGGAGTGCTGATAGGTATTTAGATTCAAGCTTTTATTGCTTATTTAGTTGCCCATATGATAGCTCAGATGGAAAGGCAAGCGACTGGTCATGGTTCGAATCCCATATAACGCGACATGTGTGTGTATGTATGTATGTAATAAATTTTCTTGTATTTGTGTGGTGGGTGCGTGCTTCGACACAAATAATGATACAACAATCACTAAGGAGAACAACCCTGCTCTGTGCCGTTCTTATTTATTAGATTTTAATTATCCCGTAGTTGAATAATCGTTTAATAAATGTATAATAGTGTGTAATTAAACATTATTTCACATGAGAATCAAGCGTCTATATATACCTTTATACCATCGCTATTTAAGGAAGTAATGATGTCTTATAAACGCTGAATAATCAAAAAATGTATCGAAGAGCTTCTGTTACAACTCTTGTAAGTCGAATAAAAGCTTCTCGACTTACCTTATTTCAACACCAAATATTTCGATGTTGTGGTTTAATAAATTCTCCAGATTTGTGTGAACAAAGCCTGAACAGAAGTTATTATTAAATATAGTACAAGTATTATTAAGCATGCAGTTGAATAAAATCGTCAAGAAGTCGTTTCTTCAATAGGCAATTGTTTGTTGGGAATGCTCTTCTAACTTACCCCCTTTGTTCTACTTGTACGCACAAAAGATCACACTCCTCGCATAATCAAGGTCACAAGAATAATCTTGATTGCGGTTTCTATCTTTATAAAAATTGTATCACACTCCCACGCACAGTAGGCCGTACCAAGGCCTTCTTTATTATATGTGCCTCCCGTATATACCGCGCAATAGCACAATCCATCAACTTCACTGCACAATAGATTAAGAAAACTACGTGCGGAAGGTAGGAGAAACTTAAAACCACGTCAGCACTGATCGACTTCCGAATAATTTTGTTACTAAAGATAAATAATGATCATTCGACTTAATAACCGTTCAACCTAGTGAGCATTTGGCCTGTTTGATATTAAATGGGTCCTGGGTACTCACCAGTTATTATGTCTTTAAGGTTCATGTGATTTTAACATCATCATCACGGAATTCAGAAGCTATACCTTTGACATATCGAGTTATAGAATCTAAATAACATTATTTATTAAAAAAAACAAAGCATCATTATTTCACTATTATGAACTTTCTTGAGCGTCTTCCTGAAAGGTTTCATGCATAATTATATGACTTGTTGTGCTTGACTGCAGATGTGCTCATTTAGAAAGAAGATTCAATGCAAAGTTATAAACATGCGCTAAATAAAAAAAATAGGCATGTCTGAAGTAGACACATTCCATTTAGAAATACAGCTTGTGCAAGCAATTAATTAAGTGTAATCAAACTTTACCTCCCAAATGGCATGACGTCCGAACTCGAAATGCCCGGTCACGCATAATCACTCCACTCTGCTGGGCCAAAGATCGTGCAGCCAACATCTCAAGTGCTTCCCGATTGGATGCGTCTGGTTTTTTGGCATTTCACCTCGGAACAAGTGCGAAAATCTTATAAACAATCTTTCTCCAAATTTCCTCCTCGCGTGGTACGATCTAATGGAATGACTACGGTGTGCACACCCGTTTCCCCCTCAACCGTCGTCGTTCGTGTGAAAGATCAAGAAGGTGGTTGAAAGTTTTCCCAAGAATTTGAACCGCGCTCACCGCCGCCCGCGTGTGAGTGCTTCTTGAGGTGCTTCAAAGAAGTTCATGTGGAAGAATACCGATCGGATCGCGGTGGTATTTACCTTTCCTGTTCCGCTGATGTGAAGAACCCAGTACAAGTCGGTGAGTGGTGTTTATGCTTCATCTCGAGTGTAGACCTATTCGTGTGCATAAATAATAGAGGTTTACCGATCGGTGGTCGGCGGTTGTGGTGTATTTTTCACTGACCTACATTGAATAGATTCAGGTATGAGGGAAAGCAATTCATGCGGCGGGATTGTTTGCTTGCAATGGAACTGGCGTTTTCTTGAAGAATGAAAACTAGCGGAAATGTTTGTAAAATTATAAGTTCGTCAAATGTTTCGAAATGTCAAATTTCCAAGACCATGAACTTCATCATCAAGTTAACTTGAAACCGGTTCCCATCACCATCAACGTCGTTCTTCAAATTGCTTTCGGCAGCTCAATAAATAATTATTAATCAAATATTTGATTTATTCAAGATATTCCATAAATCAATTTGATATGTACATATGAAGCTACGATAAATATCACAAGTTTACAACCGATACGACGAAAACGGTCGAAAAACTCCCGCGAAACCGTTCCTTTGCAGTGCTGGACCCGGGAGAAAAGATTTATGCAAAAATCTTGTAAAATTGGTGGATGGCAGAATCTCCTTCTCCTTTCTTCGACATTGTTTGTCAGGGGGGTGAGCCGAGAGATTGCTTCCAAGATTTATGAGTGACATGGACTTCTGCCGAACGAAGCGATCCGCATCGGTCTTTATCGAGTGGGACAGATCTGTTCCGCATATTTATGATCGGAGAAATTGAATTGCGACCGACCAAGAGAGGGAGAAAAAGCTCGGCGAAAGGGTCTCTCCCTCTTGATCACCAAACGTAGACTACAGTGCTGCTGCACAGAGCGTGTAATTACGAGCTCATAAATTACTTTTTGGCCAATTTTTCAATCCCGCAATCGCCGCGCAAGGCGATTGATACGATCGCGATTATTAGCATTTTGTCATCTCTTGCTTGTTTACATACTTTTGGGTCCTTTTGGAAAGATCGCCCCGGTACAGATAGGGATCAACTTTCTTCGATTGTGTCGGCTTTTGGTATCAAATATTTGAATACGGTTTTCTCCTCTTCTTTTTTTCAGGCTGCAATTGTCACGTGCAAGGATCGGTAAACCGGCTATGCAACCGGCACAGTGGCCAGTGTGTCTGCAAGCCCAATGTCAGCGGTCGACAGTGCAACAAGTGCGCGATCGGATTCTGGAACGTGGATTCCGGTGTTGGGTGCGTCCAGTGCTCGTGCGATCCCAATGGCAGCGACCATCGGGAGTGTGATATGCAAACCGGGCAGTGTTTCTGCAAAGCCGGTGTCGAAGGCATCAACTGCAACCAATGCAAGCAGGGATTCTATGGATTCTCTAGTCAGGGGTGTAAGAGTAAGTATCACCATTGTTCAGTTAAGTTTAGATTTAGATAAGATCCCTTTTACTCGGTCTTATCATTCTTTAAAGCAGGGATGGATCGCTCTTTTGGAACTTGTTTCGATACTTTTTAATATAGAAATCCAATTGAATTTTATGTTAACCCATCTTAAAAATAATAGTTTAGTGCTATTAATCTTCCTATCAAAATTCAAAATATTCGCACCGCAGAGCCACACTCTGTGTTTTCACTGGAGGTGCACTTGAGACTGCTCTCGAGTGTAGCTTCAATGAAAACACAGAGCTCTACCGTGCGGATATTTTGAGTTTTGATAGGGAGATTAATAGCACTAAACTATCTATTTTAAGATGGGTAAACTGAACATTTAATTGGATTTAAGCAATTTAAATTAAAGAGTAACGAAAAAGTCCCAAAAGACCAATCACTTAAAACTGCTTAAAACTGGTCAGTTTTTAAAACCAATTATTGAGCTTGAAATTATTTGTTGTTGTGATATCAGAATTGGGGGTTTTATTCGCTATCCCGATATCCGGACAAGGATCGCAAGGCAAGAGCAAAGGAAGCATCTGAAGAAAGATTTCGAGGACTCGGGCCAGACTAGGCGAGCAGGGCTTCTCCGTAATTTGATAAAGATGGATCTTTCAGCGGCGCCGGTGGTGTAGTGGTATGCGTGATTATCTCTCACCCCATCAGGTCTGGGTTCAATCCCAATTGGCACCGCCGGGATGTTCTGAAACATATCGTCTCTGATCACGGGAAGTAAAGCCTTTGATCCTCGGTTCATGAGTAGATGGGTCGATAGGTGTAGGAGCTGCCTCCCTGGCGTCGGTAGCATTGGTGCTCAGCACGGAAAACAATCGGATCGACGGAAAACAATTCAAGAAAAAAAAAAAGATGGATCTTTCATCGTGTGCATCCATAGCTTACTACGTGAATCAAATTGTTTTGACAGCACACCAGACGTCCAATGGTAATGGCTTTGGCATAGCCATAACTGCACAGTAGTCCAGAGCGGAAAAAAACATGGAAATTGGGTTTTCCGCCAAATCTACTGGTTTTAGCGTTTCGATGTCTTGGAAAGAGTTGTTGGTAGTAAAAAAGTGCTTTTTTTTATTGGATCAGTCATTAGGTTGTTTTCAAAAATCTAACTCTTCAGGGAAATTTTTGGGATTTTTTTTTTACTTCTTCAAAGTTGTAGAGGATGCAAAACCAAGCAACTTTGTCGAAGACGTTAAATTTTTATCTCATCATATACGCATTCTACGAACTGAAACAACTTGAAGGTTATGGTGATTCATGAAAAAGCAGTTTTTTGACCATAACCTTTTTTGCTTTGTATTTAGAGAAAACTGTTTTTAGAAAACTTTTAGACTTTAAAAAACACACATTTTGATCACCTAATTATGACGTTTAGACAACTGAATCAAAAGATATAGTTATTTTAAGGTAAGAAACAAGTATTTTGCAAACGAATATAACTTTGAAACGCGCAAGCCAATTTCAAATCTATTGAAAGTAATGGAAAGAAGAAATTTGGTGAAAAAATGGCAGAGGTATCATTTTTTTTTAACTCGAGATGTTTGAATTAGAAAACTGTCATTTTTAAGGGAAAAATCAATAGAACATGAATAAAAGTGGCAATAACCGGTTATTCATTCTAAAAACTTCTAAAAACTATTGTAAAATAATAGTGACAACTAATCTAAGCTGTTTGCTCACAAAAAATATTTTGACAACTCGTTCTGAGCTGAAATTTTGGAAACAAACAAATTAAAGGGAATTAGTTGCTGTGATTGAGCAATTATGCAATGTTTATTTTTTTAATAACGATCAAGGTTATCACTAAAATGAGTTAAAACAAAATTGAACAACAATTATAGCAATTATCCAAAGACTTCTGACTTTTTTTTGGCGTTTTTGAGTCCTTTTTCAGGATCTTGGAGGATTTAAAATACACCAAACTAACATTTAACACGCAAAATAAACCTCACACCGCCTAAAAGCATTGAATATAACAATTATTGCCTTTGATTGCCCAGTAAGTTAAAGCACATTATTAGCAAATAATAACTGTACAAGTACTTCCAACTTGAACTTAATTAATAGCTTATTCTGCACCGACATATGGTATGTTGTTTCTATCTCAGCAGCATTCGCATCCAGCGATCATTGACGAAATCAGCAATTTCACCCTAGGTTGGTCTCGCAGTTCCATTTTCGAACTCAAAACAAACGTTGCTCTTGACGTCAACTCCAAACATCATCAAATTTTAATTGTTTCAAACAAAAACATGACAATCATCGATCGAGCTGCAGCCAGTGAACGATTTTTAGAACCATTTTCAATGGGTCATCGTGCTGCATTCTTACGACGTGCCCAGTCCACTGTAGTCGCCCAATTTTTGCAATGTGGACGATGGATGGTTCTCCCAGCAGCTGGTGAAATTCGTGGTTCATTCGCCTCCTCCACGTTCCGCCATCCATCTGCAGTCCACCGCAAATGGTACGAAAACACCGTTGGTCTTCCACGAGCATAGTCCAGGTCGCGTAGCCGTAGAGCACCACTGGTCTAAACAGCGTCTTGTAGACAGTCAACTTCGTGCGGCGGTGAATTTTATTCGACCGGAGCGTCCTCCGGAATCCAAAGTAGGCACGATTCCCTGCCATAATGCGTCTATGAATTTGTCTGCTGGTATCATTTTCGGCGGTCACCAGTGAGCCCAAATACACGAACTCATCGACCACCTCGATTTCGTCACCGTCAATCTGAACTCGGGGCGGCAGGCTTACATTGTCTTCCCTAGAACCTCTTCCTTCCATGTATTTTGTCTTTGATGCGTTCATGGCAAGTCCAATCCGCCTAGCTTCAGCCTTCAATCTGATATACTTACGTTTCCGCCATCGTCTCAAAGTTCCGTGTCAAGCCAAGAATGTAATTATCATAATCCGGGGGCAAATTGATCTCTATTTAACGTTAATATTCAAATAAATTTCTTAAATTAACTAAATTGAAAAACTAACAGTATTTAAATCAGTAGCTATGAGGACTCCATGGTTTATTATAAATCAAATACATTTGTTAATTTTAGGATTTTTTTTAAATCTAAAATTTGAAAATATCGGTAGGGGAGAAATGGATCAACCCCTTAAATGGCTACCCAGTGTATTTCTAGTAATTGTTCTTATTAAATGTGGGTTCCATGAATCCGATTCAGCTGCTAAAACCCTTATGCGAAAAGTTTTTACAGCAGAACAGCTGGTAAAGATGTCTTAAAATCAGGCTTGATAGAGCCTCACTCGCGAGTTTGAAATGAGCCGAGCGTAGCATTTTTCTGAGAAGTTGAATGCCTACTGCCAAATCATTCCACTGAGCTTCAGAGCTTGTGAGCTAAGGGGGATAAAATGAGAGTGAGGTTTGCTGCCATTCATGTTCATGTATTCTATCACACGCTCTTACTCTCACTCTGGGTCGAACAAAAAAGTCATCCGGAGTCTCGAAAAGTGCACCTCACGTCAAATCCTCCTCTCGCTGAAGTTCACTCTCCCTCTCTCTCGAGGAGTTTTTGTTTACTTCTTCCATATTCCTGCCCCCCACACACTCGAGGTGAGGGCTGGCTAAACTCGCAGGACAAGAGTGTTTTAAAACCTCCAGTGAGTTTGAAGAGTTTCAGCAAACCTGCTAAAATGAATAGTTGCGCCTAAATGTAGACATTTTTTTAAATCATTGATAATTTTGCTAAAAACTCTCAATTTTTTATATATGAAACATGCTACCATAATTTATGAAATAATTTGGATTTATTGACACTTAATTTATTAAAACATGAGACTTGCATGATAATGAATTCAATCGTTGCAGTCCTATCGTTTGCTTGGATGTTGATATTGTACACAGCAAAAAATTAATTTTGATATCACATCAAAGTGGATGTACTTCAATCGTGTCAAAAATATGGTGTAATATTACTTACCAACAAGAACAAAATTATCATTGATACAGTGCATGAACTGACATTGCGCTGCTTTTTCTGCATTTGTTTATTTTTGAGGCCATAACAAATACATGAGATTTTAGACATGATTGAAGTGCATCCTATAGGATATAATATTAAAATTTATTTTTTGCTGTGTATGCTACATAACGTCAGCTCTATAAAATTGAATTTTATGCAATAAAATATTACATTTTGCTGTGAAAAACACATCAGAGCAATCATTGCAGCATCATGATGATATACTTTTAAGATTTCTCTTGATAGCAGCGAAAATGTTATACGTGACAATTAAAAGTGCAACGTATGACGATTAATTTCACCCCGGTGATCTATTTGCCCCAAGATTACGGTACTTTAAAATTCTCTTCGGTTTTCTTCCTATCCTTTTGAGATTTTGCTTAGCATTTTCTAAGTATTCCATCAAAACTTCGATTGAATTATTTCTTAAATAACTTTTGAAATTTTCATGGAATTCCACTTTTGGACATTCTAATAGGGATTGTATTGGAATTCTCCATGGAATTCCTTTGAGGCTCTCCTTAAAATTCTATTGGAAATCTCCTCAGAATTGCTTTGGAATACACATTAAATTTAATTTGGATATATGGACTTCTATAGAATTCTCTTCTTAATTCTCCTGAAAGTAAATGAGAACGTCTCTGTTGTAATTGATGATGAGACTATTGATCGCGTTCGGTAGATTAAATATCTTGGCGTGATTATTGATGACACACTTAAGTTCAACTCTCACATTGACAATGTCATCAAGAAAATTGCCAAGAAGTATGGAATTCTATGTCGACTGAAAAACGATTTAACTATTGCCAGTAAAATGCAGCTATACAAATCAATCATCTCTCCTCATCTTGACTTTTACCCTTCCATTTTATTTCTGGCCAATGCAACACAAATATCGAGATTACAGCGCTTGCAGAATAAAATAATGCGTGTGATTTTAAGATGTAATAGATTCACTTCCTCAACTTTGATGTTAGACGCCTTACAATGGTTGTCGGTGAAGCAAAGAATTGTTTATTTGACTATGGTGTTCATTTTTAAAGTAGTTAACGGTTTGCTGCCTCGATATTTGTGTGATCGAATTGAAAGAGGAAGTGACTTTCATAGATATAATACTAGAAACGCGGTTGAAATAAGAACACCACATTTCTTGACTTGTGCTTCACAAAATTCACTATATTATAAAGGAATAAATGTTTTTAATTCGATGCCTAGACATACCAAACGTTTAGCAACACTTACAGAATTTAAAAGACACTGCATTTCACACGTCAAAACTGTCTTTTGAACAGTTATCCAGTGATTTTTTTTATGAATTGACAAATTATGTATCTTGACGAAGTTATCTCTAACAGATTATTTTATATGGATAGCTGTCATAACGACTTTTTAATAATTATTGTAGCACTGCAAAAACTATTTCTGTTCGCCACGAGGGTGATGATGGATTTTTAATATTTGATTTAATAGTAGATTAATTTAAAAAAATTAGTCTACAAAGGTTTGAGCCTCGCGCGCGTATTACGGATATAGAGGACTGAATTTAACATTTGATAAAAACAAATGCAATTTTGAAGCTTATTTGAAAGATACCTTGAGTTAGTAGTAAGTTTTTTGGCAAATGTTGGGGGTTCGTGAGCATTCCTGACATTGCTGAATTATGATAGCATCATATTGCGGGGTTGCTAGTGTAATAGGATGCTTTGTTGATTGTTCATTAACTCTTGATTGCTTGTAATACTTATGAATATTTTAGGTGGACAAAAAGGCGAACTAAGAGGTGGACTGAGCTTTTCCACATTTATATCGCTGTGAAGCAACTGTAAACTCTAGAGGGAATTTATATCTGTAACTGAAACCAGTTCGATTTTGTTTGCCAACCTGGTTAAAATGTCATATATAATTATCTTAAAGATAAATCGTCCAGCTCAAACCTTTGTAGGGGTAAGAGGTGGGACCATCATCATCATCATCATCATCTGAAATCATCTCTTTCTCTCCTCACAATTTCTAGTCAGTATTCCTAGACCTTCTTCAGCTTTCTCTGATGGAATCATGCTTCGATATCCCTTTGAATTTCTCCTCATAATTCAATTGGAATGCTTTCAGAATTCCTTTGGAATTATTTTCGCATTTGCTTAGTAATCATGCCAAAATAGCCTTTGGAATTTTCTTCTTAATATAAGCTCTCCTCGATTGAATTATTCTCAGAACTACAGAGGAATTATTTTTAGAACTCTCTTGGAAATTGCATTTACCAAGAATCAAATGGTAATAAGCAACACCTTGAAAGCATTCTATAGATTTTGCTTGAAATTCTTCTAAAACCTAAAATGGAGTTCCAGTCCGAACTCTCTTAGAATACTTTTTAGAAATCCCTTTAAGATCGCCAAGAGATAAACTTGCCTACGGCTAAACATCTCTAAAAAAAACTTTTAAGTTCGCCTCAGCATTCTACAGAAATTCTCAAAATATTGCCACAAAACTCCAGAACCTTTCTGAAATCCATTATATTGATTGTTTAACATAGATTTTGAAACCATTTCAAGATCTGAAATCTGAATCTCCGTTCCAGAATCTTGAAAATTTAATCAAGGTTCTTTTTTTAAAGTCCAGGAATCGAACATTTTCATCAGCCCTATATTTTTTTTCAGAATCTGAGGAATCTGACTCATGATTTTGAAATTTGCATAAAATCTCATAGTCTTGAAGATTCTTCAATCAATCAGATCTTGAAATATTTGTCTCAGATCTCAAATAATTAAATTTCAAAATGTATCAAACACTTTCAAACTTTGTGCCGAACAGCGGCGCCGGTGGTGTAGTGGTAAGCGTGATTACCTCTCACCCCAGCAGGCCTGGGTTCAATTCCAGTCGGCGCCTCCGGGATGTTCTGAGACATAACATCTCTGATCACGCCTTCCTTCGGAAGGGTAGTAAAGCCGTTGGTCCCGGTTCATGAGTTGACGGGTCGATAGGTAGGGTTCAGGTGTGGGAGCTGCCTACCTGGCGTCGGTAGCATTGCACAGTGGTCCAGAATGCAGATTTAGGTGGAATGATATGTTTGGAGCCTGAAATTGAAACTTTAGACTAAAAGTCTCTTCTACAAAGTTGTTCCTTATAGTTAGGCCCTCATTTTTATGACAATGAATTCTAGGGTGGTTCCCATTATCATTAAAATCAAAAATTTAACTTTTTTGTTTGAATAAATTAAGGTATACATTTTTCAGCAAAGTTATAGCTGAGCTAATTTCAAGCAACTTTGTTCAAAATAACTTTTTTGTATCTCTTAAATTGGCCGATTTAGAGCTATTTTCTTGAATTGAGTTAGGGTGGCTCTTGAAAAAACAGTTTTTTGCTCTAGATTTATCATTTCAAATTTCTCAGCAAAGGTGTCTTCAGATAACTTTTAGATCTTGAGAAGGCGCAAGCTTTTGCTGCACAAAGCTTGTCAATATCCTTAACGTTCTCATTTTAGAGTAATTTTTCGGAGTTGACTTAGGGTGTTCCTGGAAAAAATAGTTTTTTAGCAATAACTTTTTTATTTGAAATTTATTATGAAAGTCATCTTCTAGAGACTTTTAAAACACTTTAAGACGAATGTTTTATATATGAATTGGTTGCCTGTATCTCTTCTAATAAAAAAAAAAATACTCTTATATAGTAAAAAAATATGAATAAATTCAAATTGATTTTATACGAGTTTTAAAAATACCATACCTCCAATTTGTTCATATTATTGAGAATAACATACGCCCTTTCAAATGCCGTAAAAAACTTTGTTTTTGTTTGCCCCAACCAGAGATATTAACATTTGAAACGTGCATATTTTTAGTATAAAAACGTCAATAACTCTTGATCGGCGAAAGATATTGACAAACTTTGTGTAGCAAAAATTTGCGCCTTCTTAAGATCTAAAAGTTATTTGAAGACATCTTTGCTGAGAAATTTGAAAAAAAAAATCTAGAACAAAAAAACTGTTTTTTAAGAGCCACCCTAACTAAATTCAAGAAAATAACTCGAAATCGGTCAATTTAAGAGATACAAAAAAGTTATTTTCAACAAAGTTGCTTGAAATTTGCTTAGCTATAACTTTGCCGAAGAATGTATACCTTAATTTATTCAAACAAAAAAGTTAGATTTTTGATTTTAATTATAATAGGAACCACCCTAGAATTCATTGTCATAAAAATGAAGGCCTAACTATAAGGAATAACTTTGTATAAAAGACTTTTAGTCTAAAGTTTCAATTTCAGGCTCAAAACATATCATTCCACCTCAATCTGCATTCTGGACCACTGTGCATTGGTGCTCACCACGGAAAACTAGATCGACGGAAAACAAAGCAAGGAAAAAAAAACTTTGTTCCTTCTGTTTGAAAAATTCGTGTTTATGGCACGTATTTATCAAAGTACCGTTAACAGACTTCGACAAATTTCTATGAAATTCAAAATATCAGAGACTTTGAAAAACTCATATTAGATGTAAATTTTAGTAAGTACAAGGGGTAAGTCACTTAGTACATTGGGCTGAAATTCGGCACAGCTTCAGCACAATCTCGTATGCATTGGATTGTTGTAAATAAAATGGGAACACTGCTGGACAAATGTCATTGAAGTTGTTCACAACACTACGTGCTGTTTGACTATATATTCAGGAACATCCTCTTATTGAATATACCAGAGAAAGTCAGACTAGCAGTTCACTTCTCGGTTCATTTATAGATTTAAATCCGAAATGTAGGCTCTAGCGTGGACTCGAGAGAAAAGACTGTTAATCAGACCCCATTTGTGTGGGTTTTTTATGTTTTTTTTTTTCTGTAATAATTGTATAATTACACTGCGGATACCAAATTGAATAGGAATAAGTTCATGTTTTAGGAATAATGAAATATTTGTATCGTAAATCATAACTCAAACCTCCTTCTCCCTCTCCCCATCCATAAAACTGTAAATCTCTACTAACCTTGAGACGACCGCGAGTAACCGGATCAATTCCTTTAACTCTATATTTAAGACAATAATTATGTATAACGCAAATGATAACTTGGCTCTGTCAAGTTTATTCGATTGAGCCTGTACACATAAATTAATACAAAAAAAATCAGGCCCCTCAATTCAAATAATGCTGCAGCTCACACAAAACAATCTACAGAAGTCATATTCGTCGTAGTTTTCGCTCAATACTCCTATGCGACTACCATGCACTGAGGCAAATAGACTTAAGAATTTCATAAGGCTCGACTTATGAACGACACATATGAATTTCATAAGCGCGACTTATGAAAGATTTTCGTCTAACATAAGGTAGCTCTTATACACGTTTAGCCATTCTATTTACCCAAGCGTCGAAAGACGAGTAGTCCAGACATAAGACCCGTAATCTCAACGTTCATGGTTCGGCTCCAGTCTGCTCCATTTTATTACTTTTTTTGTCGACATTATTTTACATAAGGCAAATCTATGAAATTCATACCGATTTCTTGTGGAATTCTTACGTTCTTTTGCCTCGGTGTGCGTCTCCTTTGATACATAGGGAAGATGTACCAGTTATGACTATACGTTCCTATTATGGTGTGTTCCGATTATGGCCTATGGAAATTCCATAGGCTATAATTGGATCACACTATAATAGGAACGTATAGCCATAACTGGTACATCTACCCTAGCTAATATAGTTACATGATCTAAGTCATGTCGAACAAAGAAAAAAAGCTTCACAATAATAAATAAGAATCGAAAACTCTAATATTGTTTTTTATCTATTCCCAGGATGTGAACAATGTGCGAGTGAAGCGTACGTTTGCGATCCGGACACGGGTCGATGTGTGTGCCCTCCCAACAGCCATGGCCATGAGTGTCGCATCTGTGCGGTCAACACCTGGAACAATGTGTTCCAACGGGGATGCACCCACTGCGAGTGTGACATTGCCGGTTCTGTCGGGCAGGCTTGCAATAGCGTCACTGGACAGTGCAACTGCAAGGAAGGCTTTACGGGAAGGCAGTGCAACGAGTGTGCCATCGGGTACTATGGATATCCCAACTGTCGGCGGTGTGACTGTGATGAACGGGGCTCGATTGCAAGATCTGATGGAAGTCTCGACTGTGACGATAAAGGACAATGCCACTGCAAATCGATGGCATTTGGTCGAACGTGCGACCAGTGTAAGTCGGCCACATTCGGATTGGTGGCGAGCAATCCAGATGGCTGTACGAGATGTTTCTGCTTTGGACGATCGCAGGATTGTGAGCAGAGTGAGTTTTCGTGGGGACAGATTCGTTTACAAGGCTCGAGGAACCTGAGCGTTGAGTATGTGGCCAAAGAAGAGGACGACTTCGATTTCGATTACGTTGTAGTGATCCAGCTCGAGGGAACCAAAACAAATCGGGAGGATGCGGAGATCAAGAACATGAACAATCTGGATCTGATTCCGAGCTCTACAGGAAACGTTTCGATTGGGGCGTACAGTGCGTTCCAATATCCGTTGTATTTTCAACTCCCACCGCACTTTCTAGGAGATCGTACTACCAGCTATGGTGGGCTATTGAACTTCACTCTAGTCACGGTTGGAGCATACCAGAACATCTCGGAGGGCTCCCTGCGACAATTTCCGTTAGTCCAGTTGCACACTCACGATGAACTGGTTTTGGATTTTTACGACGATCAAATAGTGTATAACAAGGACGTTATCCATCATTCGGCTACCTTGCATGAACGATTTTGGAAGAATCACTACGATGGACAGTTGACCTCTCGAGCCATTCTAATGGTGGCATTGCAAAATGTGAGGCATGTGTTTGTTCGGGGCACCATCAGCACAGACTTTCGGCAAGTGGTGTAAGTGTTTTGGATTATCGGATTAAGGTTGGAATTTTAGTTGATTTCTGTTTCTACAGACTGACAAACGTCACGTTGGACGCAGGAATTTACGTGAATGGAGCGGAAAATAATCATGCCTATGGAATTGAGCGATGCAGTTGTCCTGTTGAATACAGCGGTTTATCTTGTCAAGATCCGGGAACAGGATACTATCGATTCAAGCCACAGATTCCGAACAAATTACCGGAAACGATTGACGATTACATTGGAAAGAGTCTCCCGTGTGACTGCAATGGACGCAGCAACGAATGCAATCCGGAAACTGGAGTTTGTGTGGTAAGATCGTACTGGATGTCTTATGATAGGAGGTTATAATTTACCAATATATTTTTCAGAACTGTCGAAACAACACCGGAGGGGATCACTGTGAAATTTGTGCGGATGGATTCTACGGTAATCCGAGCTACGGATCTTGTCACGCTTGCCCCTGTCCGGAAACGAGAAAGAACTTTGCCAAAGGTTGCGTTGTGAAGGGAGATGAAGTCAGCTGCATCTGTAAGCCCGGCTACACGGGAAGACTATGCGACTCGTGTGTGAAAGGTTACTTTGGATTTCCGCATTTGGAGGATGGGCGGTGCGATTCTTGCGGGTGCAATCGAGAAGGAAGCATATCGGACGAGTGCGTTGCTTTGACTGGGCAGTGCCGGTGTAAACCGGGAATCACCGGAATAAAGTGCGATCGTTGTGAGCAGCCAAAGCATATCGTGCAGAATTACAAGTGCAAACGTAAGTATTTTGTTCAATTGAAATTAGCCGAATTTATTGACTGGATTATTTATCTCATAAGTACAATATTTGATGCATACAACACACTCAGAAATTATCGCCGGCCTCACTTGTTTTTACCAAAATAACAGCTGAATGGCTAGGTAGAATTTGAGGAGTTCAATTTAATTGCTTTAAAACTACATCAAAACGAAATCCCCTTTTCCATTACAAGATTTGATCATTTGAATAATGTTGAACGTGTTTTGAAATTATTGTTCAGCAAAATAGGCTTTAAAATTACAAACAAAGTTGCACCGAACATTCAGCTCAGTGTTTGGAAAAGCATTCTCAAATCGCATTCATTGAGCCTCTCTGAAAGAATGACTCGCGTTCAAATGTGAAAAGCAAGGGCGTAGCCAGGTTTCGAGCTAGGGAGGGGCAAAAAAAAATAGTATGGAAAATTTGGCCGAATGCCATTTCACCGAACGTCTTTTCACCGAAAGTCTTTGTGCTGCTGAGTTTAGAGGGGGAGGGTGAAACTTCCCTCACCTGCCCCCCTCTGGCTACGCCTATGGTGACAAGGAAAACTCATGCATGAGTGAAGAGCTTTAAGTGTGTTGGTTTATTTCTTTTTAATTCCGTTATAAATGCTTATCTTTTGACAGATACGCATATTTCGTCTACTACTTGTAGACTTCGTACTGGTACTGGTGTTGAGTACTTGGCACTGATAAAGTCTGATGGTAGTAAACGAAATATGCGTATCGGTCAAAAGATAAGCAAATTATAACGGAAATATGTATGGACAATTGTCTACGCAGGAGGGGGGGGGGGTCAAGAATTCCAAAAATCTGTCTACGTAGTTAATGAACAGCCCCTAGGCATAGGCGCATAAACTCACACATGAATTTTGAGTTTTGAGCTTTTTCCGAACACTGGTTCAGCTGTTAAGATTTCGGTAAAGAATTACCGAGCCCGACAGTAAAATCTGAGTGTCAAACAGAGATCGGTGGATATTCAAAAAAGTTTAGGGGATATCTAGGGGAGTTCAGAACACATCCAAAGAACTTCAGGCATCATTCAGAAAGATCAGCGAAAATCTAGAGAAGATCAAGGAATATATATATAGCAGTCCGGCGTATATGTAATCAAATTCAGCGAACATCAAGTAAAGATGTTCTTAAAACATCTTCAGACGTTCGTAAAAAATCTCAGTAGTTCAAATACCATACATAGAAGTTCAGGGAACATCTATAAAAAGTTCAGAGATCACTTAAATATGATCAGGAAGCATATCTAGACAAGTTCAGGGATAATCTTTAAACTCTTAGGTCTCATCTACACACTTAGAAAATAAAAATTACAAGGGACAGCCCTATGGGGTTGTACGCAATGGTGAAGTAGGACTACGTGGTCTTATATAATAAATCTTATTTGTTAACTGCAGCAGGAGCTTGTGTTTTGTGTAGGATTAGGAATTTTAGCGGCTCACGAAGAGCTACTGACTCCGATCAATAGCGGTGTAGCTTCTTCCTCCTTCTATGGATGACTAAGTGGGCTGTAGCTAGCTGCTTGCAGGCAGCCTTTCGTTGTGTACTAGAGAACAATGTTGAACGCCACACGTCGAAAGCACTGCTGCTGATGCCGACGACCAGACACCACCACACACGGTGATTGTACTGAATCCGATCAGCGGTTGAGGGCAGCTTTGATAGCTAGCTATTTGCGGGGAGCCTTTCGTTGTGTACTGGAGAACACCAACAACTCATCACGCGGTGGTCGAATAAACACTGTTTGGTGAGACCGGATTGAATTCAACTTTGAAATCTGTGTTAGGGAGATAGCTTTTCGCAGGCAGCTTCGGAGACGAGCCAGCCAACGGCTGAAAGTCTCCTTAATAAAGATATAAAAACAAAAAAAAAAAAATTTCGCAGGCAATCGGTGATTATTTTCATTATCATAGCAACAGTTGCAAATTCGTGCAATTTTCAATAGTGACATTTTGAAAATTGATAATGTCTTAAATTTAAAAGATGCGTAGAAATATTTTTGATCGATTGGTGGTAAAATTATTGGAATTTGTCCAGGGGCAGCGATGTTACTAACATTCAAAATCTTTCATAATTTTGTTACATGTTCCATTTTCGTTTTTCACAAAGTGTACTCCCATATAGAAATCACAGACGTAGTCCTACGTCAAAATCATGTAAATTTCGGTGCTCTGAGAGCAGTGTTCGGAAGATTATTCTCAAATCTCATTCATTGAGCCTACCTGCGAGAATAAACGTGCGAATGCGGCAAACAAAATTCACGCTTGACTTGTGTCATAAAAACCACTCAAATGTTAATTGACATCATGCCTATGCATGTTGTGTTAGTTTTCCAACCCCTGATACACAAACAATAAATCCGTGCCGTTTTTTAAGACCTTCCTTGTTTTCTGAAGCTTGCCCTTCATTCGCCCAGGATTTTTTCTATTGGGCAAAGTTTTGCCTAGTTTGGCAGTTTTGCCTCTTTATATATTTGGCCATTGCCGGTCTTTATGTACGGCTTGCTGAATTTGCCACACCCACAGATCGCCTACCACACTAAGTACTTCTTGGAAAAATTGTCAACCTTCTTTTTCCGGAACATCCAGGTGAGACTTGTCGACGAAAAACTCCAGGCCGGGGATCTGCTTAGCGTCCGCTTTAATGTACGATGCATTTCGGCTGCACCAACCACTCGCGGTACAGCTTCCTGGTGCAGGATTTGGCCACCGTATTCTGTTTATCGGTTCGGTTAGGCGCCTTCCTTACCTTGAAGAAATGAATTCCAGCCCACTTCATTGTCTGCTGGACGAACCAGAAGGAAGAATTGACCTTCTTGGGCACGTCCCGAATCGAAAGGTTCGATTTGCGCTTGAAGTAATCCCTCAGATTTCTTGCGTTCATGGGGTCGATCGTCTTCGCTTTTCTCCCGCTGCCAACTCACCACTGCGTCGTCTGGGTATCTTTGAACGATTGCACCACACGGGACACGGTCGAATTGTCAATTTCAAATTGTTTCGCGATCTACCTGTGGGACTGGCCTGGATTGTCCACCACCGCTCCGATAATTTTTTGTCGAAGCACTTCTTGCTTGGAAGCCATCTCGATTACCACTTGACAGATTGTGACGAGATTTTGCATATGTAATCAGTTCACTCTAAACTAGTTTTACTCAAAATGCAATAAAAAGTTATACACTAAAGAAAGTGTTGCATTTTTTTCGAGTACAATCTTTAATCATGTCAACATTAAATAGTATCTGCAGGAAGGTTCGGCGACTCGATAGTGATTGCAGTCCTGCAGTTCTATCAGTGGGGGTTATTCCGAGAGTAGAAGTAACTTTTGTCACTATTGATGTGACTTTTGTCACGTCGTGGTGACGTGACTTTGTGTGCATATCATATGGAGAGTCACGTCACCACGACGTGACTTTTCTCACTTCACTAGTGACAAAAGTCACTTCGACTCTGGGAATAATCCCCAGTGTTCGTATGGTGGTAGATTATCGGGATTGATCCATGGAAGCTGTTGTATGGCGAATCTGACAAAACGTTTCTGGATTCTTTCGATGCGCGATATGTGCACAGCATGATATGGAGCCCAGATTTGTACTCCATATTCAAGAACGCTGCGAGCCAAGGAGCAGTACAATATTTTCAAAGCGTACACATTATCGAATTGGGCAGCGTTGTGATGCAGAAATCCAAGCAAGGAATTGGTCTTTGCAATTACCTTAGATATGTGCTATCCAAGATAAGTCCAAGATTTTTAATATAATCAACTTGTTCAAGCGGCAACTGATGCATCAAATAATCAAATCTGATCGGCGAGTGACTAAAGGTGGAGGTAATGACTTTGCATTTGGCAGTGTTTGCTTGCATCCGTTCATCTGACCACGATGTTAACCGCTTGATGTCAGTTTGTAGAGTGCACAACAATCTAGGATCGATTTGATCACACGGTAGACTTTCAAATCATCAGCAAATAACGACTTGGAAAAAAGGCTTCATGAGGCAAATTTCAAAATTACGCAAGGTGAGGTGTACGATTGAAATTTTAGAATGCTTCGTTTTCTCAAATATTTTTCTAATCGTGATCTGACCAAGGTTTCCAGCCTCGATCATACACATAACCGTTAACCAAAAATGGTTAAATGACTGATTCGATTATACACAAAGGCGAGACGAAGCACTCATACTTCCGTTCGTTATCACCTGCATGTATATTGAGGTGGGTCACCGTTACATGAAAAAACGTAAACTTTACCTCACCATGCAAGAACAACCCTTTTTGGTTCCATTTTGTGTCCTAAACAACTGTGCATAATTTTAGAACGGTTGGTTGTAACCCGGCTCTCCGCATTACCTTTGAAATTTGTATGGAAATAAGAATGGGAAAACCTAGTTTTTTGCATTTTTATCCCTAGATACCACAATTATGATTGAACCATGCAGCTAACCATGTACAAATCAAGAGCAAATTTTCATTATGTCGTAAGTAACATTCGCACCGATCCGAGAAAAATAAAGTTTTGTTTTGATGACCGAAAATTTATTCCTATTTCCAATTAAACACATATAATCTCATAGTGATAGCAATGTTTAACATATTTAGCAGGGTTTTAATCATACAAAGGCAAATCGCTAGCTTTCATGCTAAGAAATACTGGTTTTTGAGTCAAAAGTTATTATACGTCGTTTGGTGGCCCCTATGTTACTTAAGTCAAAGTGTATTTACCAGGATATTCGGGAGAATTATCAATTACGTCTCCTTACGTGCAGCCCATTCATCATTTTAGGACCACCGAAATCATCTTAGCAACAAACAGTTCGATTTATTCACTTTAATAATGAGAAAGCGAAACGACGAAAGTACACTTTTCACGGGTTTCTCAGTGCTGTTACTTAAGGCAAACGGCATCTCCATAGAAATTGGGTGACTTAAGTAACATCGAAAACTATTTTGATCGGAAGGTGATTACGTCAAAAA